TTTATTTTTTCCTTTGGCCGTCAAAACGGGCAGAAGGGCGGGCAAGAATAGATAAATGCCAACTCGGCCCTAGTGAGTAAACAATTCATATAGATTTTTTTTATTGAATTGTTTTATTTTATAATTAGGAAGGAACTAAAAAAATTACAAATATTCACTATAATTAAAATAAAACTATTGTCATTTTGTAATAAAAACATATCTGACTGTTTACATATTTTAGTATTAATTATTTTGACCTCTGGATAGTATAGATCGGTTTAGAAACATATGTTTGTAAAAACAACGAACAGATTTGGAAAAATCTATTGTTATTATTAACTTACTAAATACTTGTTTGTATATATTTTTATAAAGTAATACAAATCAGATATTTTTTATAAAAAAAATTATATTAACAAATATCAAATTTGATGTTATAAATTAAATTAAATTAAATTTTCATACCCATTTTATTTTTTATTAAAATAAAACATAATGTACCTTAATCATTAAAAATAAGAAATTGTATAATGGTCTAATTACTATTTCAAAATAAAATCTACATTAAACAAAACAAATTAACCAAGATTCATTTCATAATTTTAATAAATGAATAATATCTTGAGTTTTTTTATTTTAATATTACGCATTCTTTAAAGGCTAATAAATTTCAACCAACAAAGAGAGATTTTGTGTGAAAGGGCCCCTACTTTCCCAACCACCAAATTTATGGGGTTAAAAAAAATGGCATTTTGACAATTACAACCATACTTGTCATCACCTCAACTAACAAATTTTATGAAAGTTTTGTAAATATAGGTCATTTTTAAATGCTAAATTTAGCTATTTAATATTTATAATATTTTTTTCCTTCTTAGTCTTTTTTTTTCCCCTTGAAGGATTTTGAGTCAAATGTGGCAGTGTGGCAAGTGTAAGAATAAGACAAAACTACAATAAAAGCTGGTTCATATATAGATATATTATGAAACTAAGTTATATAGTGATGCCATTTTTGTTACTCGTTATGATATGAAATCAATATGAAGTAACTATTGAATAAAGTGAATAATTGTTAATGGTAATTTTATATGAGATTGTAATAAAATAACAAGAAATGTATTTATATAATAGTGGTTGGGTATGATTAGTAATCCAAATCATGCACTGATGAATAATCATGGATGTGAAATTGGATAAACAAAATAGAGATGACAATGAGGTAAGTCAATCGGATAGTTCCAGACAACGGACTTAGGCGGGCGCCTCGTCTAGCACGTGATTTGTTAAGGTTTGACAGGGTTGACCGGTGACTACGCCTGCTTTTTTTTCCTTATTTTTTTAATTAATATGGTATAAATATATAATATAGTGATAAATATATATTAAAATATATTATATATATAAGGGTCGAGAAAAGGGTTTGATATTCAAACATATCCCCGTATATTAAACAGGGCATGGACCCAACATGACCCGTTTAAAAAAATGGTGCAAATCGAATGCTACAAATTGAGTTGGGACAAAGGAATTGCGCAATTTTGCTATGGAATTATTGAATGACACGACTAATTTAGTTATTCATTTTTTTTCACAAATAGTATATTGACACGTGTCCTATAATAAATACACTTGGACATGTGTCAATGCATTAAGTGATGTATGACTTCATTCAAAAACCATTCGATGGCTCCATATAATTTTTTAGGGGTTACGAGCCAAACTGTATCCTAATTTGGTGCTTTTTATGAAAATTATGAATAAATGTATCTTTTTTGTTACTTGTAATTGGGAATAAAGTAGTTTTGGTTCTATCACGCCATATTATTCTTCTGTTTGTTAGTCGAAATTATGATTTTATAATGATTTATAATTCAAAATTCAAACTCAAATTTAATCTAATTTAAATATCCTCAGTATTTTTAATATAGATAAATAACACAATCTAATCATTACTACACATTTCCAATAAAAATAATCATTCATTTACTCGTATATTTTTAAGTAACAAACATTTGTAATCATTTTTTTTTTTTGTTTAATTCACACTAACTTTAATCAAATTACATTTTAATTAATTCGCGTAAATACAAAATCAAATCTAAATTTCTAGCCAATTAATTTTCTCAATCTTAATTTTCGTTATCATCAAATAGGACCCAAATAAAGTTACTTTGACTTTAAGGCTATGGTTGGTTCAACTGAGGGGAGGGTAGGGGAGGGGAGGGGAGGGGAGGGATTTTAATGGAAGGAAAGAGAGGGAAGGGGAAGTGATGGAAAATAATTTTACCTTGTTTTGAGGGATTTTGTAGGAGGGGAATGAAGGGAAAATGATAAACCTTGTTTGGTTAAAAAAATGGAGGTGAAAGAAAATATTATAGAAATGGCAGTTATACCCTTAATGATGTAAAAAACAAAAAATTAAAATAAGTCATATATGAAGGGTAACAAAATAATTTCACACTTTAAAATTTTCCCTCCCCTCCAAATTCCCCCACTGTTCGAGGGGAGCAAAACTGGGGGAGGGGAAGGATTTTGGCTTAAAATTTCCCCTCCCTTCCCCTCCTAAGTTACAAACCAAACAAAGGAAAAATAACAAATCCCCTCCCCTCCCCTCTCCTTCAAATACCTCCAACCAAACACTATGTAATATTTTACTAGTACAATACTCGTGTATTACACGAGTACTTGTTAAGAAAAAAATATATTTAGAACTAAATAATAAACAACAAAATTGTTTTAGTTTTTAAATATTTTTTGAAAAAACATATTATTATTTATATTTAAAATGACACCGTCACTTACACGACTTTTATTATATTTTTTAAGATTTATATCAGATAACTACTTTGTAGTCAAGTTAGTTTAAATCATTTTATTTTGTTGAATTAATATTAATAGGTAATTTAATTTTAATTATAAAGATAAATAAAATTATTCATTAATACATGATTAATTTGATATATTATATATAAAAAAACTGTACTAAATAAAAAATTTATTAACTTTTAAGTATATTTATAATTTAAGCTAATAAATTTGTCATAATTTTAAAAGAAATATTGAAAAAATCATAATTTATAAATCACATCTACAATAAAAAATAGTATTAAAACATAATTAGTTTTCTTAAAAGAGACCATAAATATCTAGTATATTAATAAATATTCAAAACCTAGTTATATTAGAATTGAAAGTTAATTAAAATTCATCCAAATAAAATAACAAAGATTAAAAATTTGCCATTTAAAATCCCGAAAAAACTTAAAAATCTGGTACATAGAATCCCGAAACGTGCAAATTTGCCAATTGAGCGAAGGAGAATACAAAAAATTTACATAGGGCATTAAAAACAACGAATGAACTCACTGAAACAAACATGAATTCAGGCCCGCTGACCGTCGACCCATTAATAATCTGGGCCGGTGGAGCCCACGTCCATAACTATAGCTAAATGCTAATCAATGCTATGGGCCCTGCTACATAATTTGTCTCTGCCTACTTATTTTGAGATATAAATAAATAATCAACAATCACCACAATGTCTTCTCTTTTTCCATCGGTAGATATAATAATCTCACACATGTTATAATGGACCTAATTATTATAGGAGGCGGCGAATCTAATATTATTTTATTATAATTATTCAGTTGGCTTGTCTAATCTTGAACTATTTTAATACATATAAATTTTTCGTTTAGTTTGTAATCGACGCCGATTATAGATTTCGACTCATCTTCTTCGAGTGATCAATTTGATGTTGGAGTTTGCTCTGTACTCGATAATAAAATATAATTTGCTACAATAAATTTGACGTCGTTGTCTGGAAAAAAAAATAAGATATTTAGTGTTGATATTGATATTTTTTTCTTTTGTCTCTCTTAATCTCGTGATTTTTTGTGTTTGTTATTTTTATTGTGTCTTTTATTTTTCTTTTTGTTTTTTGTTTTTCTGTTAGTTTTCGTGGTTTCGTGTGGTTCCTTTGTTCTTGTGTGTAGGGAGTTTGACCGAAGGCTACTCAATGAAACCAAACCACCTATTTTCCTTGTCATACGCTCACTCTTGGAATAATGAGTCGAGCTATGACTTCGAGCACCATGGACATATATTTTTATGCCCTTAAGACCAACAATGGGATTCAGTCCCAGTTGAGCATTCTTATGAGTCCCGCGAGGATTCCTCAGACTATATTGTAAAACTTAATCGGATCTGACATCCAAAGCAGTCTGAGAGGAAAATATTGAAGCTGGACATGCTCGATTGAGTGCTAACTGGAGAACCTAGCGGAGCGTATTCGAACTATAGAGGATCGAGTTTACAATTCTTCACCCGAGCCCTATGTGCAAAGTATATCTATATATGAGAGTGGAACCTCGAGAGGATACTTTGGCATATTGAGCAAAAATCGATCTTGTCCTAGCTCGTGCGACAGCCCAGACAACTCGAGATGGCATATTGATCTTATTTGGTTATTAGCTGATAGCGGACTGTAATAGTTGGTTTGACCAACATATTGTGTTAACAATTTATAAATAGTTGTTTGATAAATAAAAATATATTTGTTATGGAATTTTTATATTAGCATGTTATTCTACAATTATCTACTCTCAAAATGTTATTATATTAAATTCTTTTAAAAATTACCTTTTTTTGGTCAAAAAGATAATGAATTAAGTAAGCTTTTTTAACCAAACAAACTAGCTAATGGACTTGACATATTAAATTTTTAAATATGGTTCAATCCTAATTTTACAATCCGCCCTAGTATATTCCATCATTTCAAAATAAATAAATAAATAGGAGCAAATAAAAGATAAGAAAATATGCCTTGTGGTATGGTATCTAAAAGATAGGAGAATGTCTCAATTAGAATATATATTATATTATAGAATATATATAATATTAGAATATATTCCCTTCATTGCCTTGTGGTATTAGAATATATATAATATTAGAATATATATTATATTAGAATATATATAATATTAATAGATAGGAGTATTTCATTATTGGTTTTCACACTTCACTAAACCTTCAATTCACATCTCTATCTCTCTCACACACACTGTAACTGAAGAAAAAGCTTGCTTTTAGCTGTCAGAAGCATATAAATACAGCCATAAATCCACACACCTTTTCTCTCTCTACCAGAAAATCACAGGAAAAAAGGTAGAAGAAAGATTGACCCCTTTCTCTCTCCATGCCCTAGATCCACGAATGTCCCACGCCTCAATAATCCTCACTCACACTCTCCCCAGCTCCATTTTCATGCGCCATCTTCAACTTCAGGTACAAATCAAGGCTACAATTTTCAATTTTCGATTTATTCTCAAACCCCACTTTTTCCCCCACTGTACCATCTTGTCTTTTAGTACATTTTAGCTGAAATGTTTTGTCTCTTGGTGATAGTTGCGTGTGCTTGACAATGTCTGAGCTGGAAACAAGCCAATTTACTGCAGTTGAGGTGTTTTGGCTTACCTTTGGATTCACTGGTTTATCATCCTCACGAAGCTTTGGCAAAATAAATTGAAATTGGAAGTTCAATTTTGTGAATTGGGTAATTGGGTTCGGTTTTGTTTTTCGAATCGGACTACAATGGGCTGTTTCTGTTGCAAGTCCTACGCCATTGACGACAGTAACGAGAATCCGGGTGAAAAATCGTCGAATAAGGGCTTGTCGGATAATTTACAGGTCGCTGCCAATGGCGTGTCTACTAGGAGGGAAGAGAATTGTGGGGTTAAGCATAAGATAGATAGTAATTGTAATAATGGTGGCAATGAAGGGAAAGTGGTTTTGATCGATAAGGTAGTTAATAGTTCAGGTCAATTGCAGAGAGAGAGTAGTGAGAGGAAGAGAGAGAAGGCCGAGTATGTGAATAAGGTGCTTCATCCTAGGTTAGGTATGGTTCCGAGAGCAAATGAAGGAGAACAGGTGGCGGCCGGATGGCCACATTGGCTGGCGGCAGTGGCTGGCGAGGCTATTAAAGGGTGGGTGCCGAGGAGGGCAGATTCTTTTGAGAAATTGGATAAGGTACGGTTTTTTCAGCACTGATCTTTATATTTTATAGTATCCGAGCTGAGGTTGAATAATTTGTAGGGTGATGGGATGTGAAATGAAAATTGCAGTGATGAAAATTGTTGTGATGTAAAAAAATAGGTTCATTAATGATTGTCTGTGATTGATATTATTGTTTTTCAAGGATATGAGTGGTGCTTAAGAATGTGCACAAGATTGAGTGGTGCTTAAGAATGTGCACAAGATTCATGGGAGATTCGCTATATAATGATTTATCTTTTCTGAAATAGTTTGCAAATGAAATTAGTGAGTGAATAATATGTCTTTTTGAATATTTTGGTTGTGAGTAACTTTTTTGGTAGAGGGGGAAAAAAAAAAATCTCTTGTGAAATGAGAAAAAAGTGAATGGTTGACAAGCATATCCTTAATTTACTAACATTTTTTGTTGTACAAGCCTGATCAATGAAATCCACTTCTTCTACAGCTTGCCAGTTTTTGTTGATAGAAATATATGCTTCGTAAGGGTATGGTATAGTGAACATTGGTATCTTTTTAATTTGATTCTTACAGTTACAGACCAATATATGTAAAAGATTTCACACTAGCCATTCATCATGAACTGTGTGTATTGGTCAAAGTGGGTTGCTATGTGGCTAATCAAGGTGAAAAAGTAAAAACCACAAAAAAGTCTTTCACAGATGCATGGCAAATTGGTAATAGTCTATTAGTGTGTTGTATTAGTGATTAGGGTCAAGGTCAACCCATATAACACGACTAAATGATATTTTTGTGTATTCTCTAAACAAGAGCCTTTCCTTATTTCTGACAAGGCTAAGGTTGCTTTTCGTGTAAAATTTTTGTACTATGCTATTTTTAGGTTCTTAACAAAGTCTATATTTGTTAGATTGGTCAAGGTACTTACAGTAATGTATACCGAGCCCGTGATCTCGATGGAGGCAAAATTGTTGCTTTGAAGAAAGTAAGGTTTGATAACATGGAGCCTGAGAGCGTCCGTTTCATGGCCAGGGAAATTCACATTTTACGTAGGCTCGACCATCCGAACATAATCAAACTGGAAGGCCTCGTCACATCACGAATGTCTTGCAGTTTGTACCTCGTTTTTGAATACATGGAGCATGATTTGGCCGGACTTGCATCCCATCCCGGACTCAAATTTACCGAACCTCAGGTTAATTGTTCGATTTATTAATTCCAGTGAACCTTTTAATATTATTTAAGAGTTGATTCAGTTAAAAATGTAAGAACATTGTTAATTTATTCAGGTTAAGTGTTATGTACAACAACTTTTACTCGGTCTTGATCATTGTCATAGCCGGGGCATCCTTCACCGTGATATAAAAGGTTCGAATCTTCTAATCGACAACAATGGGGTCCTAAAGATTGCAGATTTTGGCCTGGCCAGTTTTTACGATCCTCATCAGAGTCAACCGTTGACCAGCCGTGTGGTGACCCTTTGGTACCGGCCACCCGAGCTTCTTCTTGGCGCCACTCATTATGGTGTTGCTGTAGATTTGTGGAGCACTGGTTGCATAGTGGCTGAGCTGTATGCTGGCAAACCTATCATGCCTGGGAGAACAGAGGTACGTTATTGTTATTATTTTTCATTTTCTCTTTTGGTTATTAGTGGTATTTTAAATATTTTCCAATTTCTTAAAATATTTTAGGAGGGATGATATTATGTGATAATATTGGAAGTGGAAATAATGACTACTTTGTTTTGGTAGGTTGAGCAATTGCATAAAATATTCAAACTTTGTGGGTCCCCCTCTGAGGAGTACTGGAAGAAATCGAAGCTGCCTCATGCTACAATTTTCAAACCCCAACAACCGTATAAACGTCGTGTATTCGAAACGTTCAGAGATTTTCCTGAACCAGCAGTAGGACTTATCGAGATCTTACTGTCCATTGATCCTACAGATCGTGGATCTGCAGCCTCTGCTTTGAAGAGTGAGGTACACGCGTTATTTTACAACAAGTCTCGTTTTCTCTTGGATTTTATCTTATTTTAAAAAATATCAAACTCGGGTTGTTTACTTATTTATCATGGATATTATCCCCTCACAGTTCTTTACAGCAAAGCCGCATCCTTGTGATCCTTCAAGTTTGCCAAAATATCCTCCCACCAAAGAGTTTGATGCGAAAATTCGAGAAGAGGCACGGAGGTAATAATTGTCTTACATTTTAGATAGTGGAACACTTGTAGTAGTTAAAAACTGCATATCCTTGTGTGTATAAAGTTTTTGTTACCCGTATAGCCTGACACAGTGACATTTGTAGACTAGTGCCAGCTGGCAGCAAAGGCCAAAGGCAAGATGTCGAAAAGAGAGGATCGAGAGAATCTCGTGCAGTTCCAGCGCCCGAGGCTAATGCTGAACTAATCTCATCAATGCAGGTTGAGTGACTTGGTCAACTTTTTTAGACTTGGGGCCTCAAGTTGAACTATTTGACAATCGTGTAGTCTTTTTTTTTTTTTTTCTAATTTTGAGTATTGCAAACACCTTCCTAGTGGTTACATTTTTTGCACCTGCCTTCAGTGTTGCTAACTGGAATTGCTGACGCCATCCATTGATTTTACAGTCACAACCTCCATCTTTCTAAATATAACAATTAAACCCCATCATTTTGTTCACGCATTTTATATATACATCCTCATCCCTTTTTAAAAATTCCGAATACCTCCATTAAAAGCTGAGGCCATTTTTAACTTCCTTGAAAAGTTGAGAGTTGCAACTGTAGGTAATCGAATGGCGCCAGCAGATCCTGACATGGAAACTGATTATTGACGTAATCAAAACCTGAAGAATGATGTTTTGTTATTTTAAAAAATACTTTTTTTTAAGATATAAATTACCCCAAAACTCAGGAAAATACTTTTTTTTCTTAAGTTCTTATAATCGACTGCTCGACATTTTCAGAAAAGACGGTCCCAGTCGAACTCCAGAAGCAGGAGCGAAATGTTTAGTTCACACCCTGAAGAAGCCGCTTCTGGTTTCCCAATTGACCCTCGCAGACCATCTCATTTAGCAGGACAATCCAATGAAACCCATGTCCGTGGGTCCCACTCTGGGCCTTTGGCTAACCGGGCCAAATCCGAGAAGCCCATCGAGGATGATCCGAAGCCCAGTTCAGTTACTGCCAGGAGGAGCATCATGTTGTCTGGAGAACATGATGAAGAAAAACGGTCCTCCGGGCATGATTTTCCGAAGCTTATGTCTAGATTTCCAGGCTCGTTTAAGGAGGTTACAAATGCTATAATGAGGCGAGATGGGAAAAATTACGGGAATGCAGATTCTCGGGCGTGCGAGGGTGAAAGAGCCGGAAAGGATCCCGTTCTTGTAAGTCGAGCTTTCATCACTGAGGTTAAATTACAGAATAAAAAGAGGGCGAAAAAATCTAAATACTTTCTACAATTATAGAAACATCTATCATATATCAATTTTAGGATAGCTGCAAGAATTTCTCCTGAAGCTCACACATCACACACACACAGAGTTTTGAAAAAGCCTTTTTTTTAATAAGTAGCAATGCAGTAATCTTTCCTACTGAGACACTAATAGCAGTGCATTGTGATGAAATCCGTTAAAATTTTGAATTGCTGATAAATTTCTTCTTGCATTTTTTACTGTCGACAGTTGGGATACGGGTCGAAGGGTAACAAAATTCACTATTCGGGTCCACTGTTGGTACCTTCAGGTAAAGTTGACCAGGCATTGAAGGAGCATGACCGTCAAGTCCAAGAAGCTGTGAGACGAGCTAGGCTCGAGAAGGCTAGGTTACGTAAAATGCAGGGTGATGGTAACAAGTTCTCCATAAATTCGTTCTTTGTTTCGGGTCGCTGATGAACCTAGTAAAACTTGTATTATCCTAAATCCATGAAAAACAGAAGGTTTATTAGATTGTGTATTAACTATTAACCAAACGTGTGATTCTTTATGTCTAGCTTTAGATTCATAATAATGATCATTTGTGCCTCCCTACTGTTTTATTTATGTATTTTTTGCAGCCACGAAAATATCGACTTCTCGCAGTTTGAACATGTAACTTCGAAATTTTCTCAAGAATTTGCCTGTGCAAGAAATACTGCATAAGCTTTTATCATTTTCCAGAGGGACCCATTGAAAATTAATCTAGTTCCTATATTTGATCATCCTCAACATGATTGCTAAGTAGAGCTATTAAACGAAATTGATTCTAACTTGTTTGATAAACAAATTGAGTCGTGCTCAAAATTAAAGATTTTTATAAGCTTTTCTATTGCTCAGCTCGAATTTGATTCAACTTGTTTGATAGACAAATTGAGTCCAGCTCAAACTTTATTTGATAGTTTGGCTCGGTAATACTCAAAATTAGAGATTTTTATAAACTTTTCTATTGCTCAGCTCGGTTAGCATAACAATTTGAATCGAGCTCAAACTTTAGTTTGACTCATTAATACTAAAAAATATAAAATTTTATAAACTTTTCTGTTACTCAGCTCGTTTAGCCGTTTACATCTCTACAGCTAGTGATTGAGATACCTGAACCAAAGAGAATGCAATGTGCATCATATTCTTAACTAAACCTGTAACATTTTCTTTTTGTGAGTGCAAATTATTGAAAATTAATCTCGCTCTAAGTATATATATAGAGCTGATTTAAAATACCCACCGCAAACAAAAAAGTGAATATAAGGATATATATAGCAAAATAGAGCTAACAACCTTCAGAACCCCTATTGGGCAATATGACCATCCAAGACAAACCAAACCTACAAAATTAGGGCCAAAACAGGCCACACTCTTTGTAGTAGTGTATAACAAACAAACATAACCTTATTAACATCACTTTTTTACTAAAACAATAACTAAATATTATATTCTCTTTTCTTTCTTTCTTTCTTTATTTTTTTCTCTTTTTTCTTTTCTCCTTAACCACACTGCTGTCCCTTGACTTTTGCGGACCCCACGACCCTATCCACGAGCCTCCCGAGCCTCCCAGCCCCGGGTCCCGGCTTCAGCTTTGTCAAGTCCTTCCCAACCTTCGAGCATCGTGGCTTGCCGCCAGCACACCATCCACCTGGCACGAAAGACCCGTTTTTCCTCCCGAGCAGCTCGCGGTCGATCCAGTCGAGGACAGGATCGTCTTTTCTGAATTTACGCGCAAAGGCTGCCCCACTCGAGACCATTGCTTGCGTGTCGTTTAGAGAGAGAATGTGTGGGTGCTGTTTGGGAGGCGTGTCCCACGTGATGTAGTGCATGTCGTGATTGAGTACAGTTGGGATAAACTCGGGAGAATTACAGATGGCGGTTTGGAAGTAGCCCTCGGGAGACGAGACGAAGTTTGAGTAGTACATGAGAAGGGTTCGTGGGAGATTGTCCCAACCAGAAATGCAGTAGTCAACGAACGAGCGAGAAAGGATCATCCAAGCAGAGCCTGGAAATAGCAAAAAAGAGAAAAAAAGAAAAAGAGAGAGAGAGAGAAAGTGTGGAGCTTTGTAAGCAGAATTCAAGAGCGCTATCCGAGGAGTTTTTGCTTACGAAGGCTTTTGAAGAATACGAATTAGTATTTATATTGAGAATGTGTTTCAAAATATTACAACAGACACACAAGAGATGCAAAAGTTCAAAACAAGCAGATTGAGTGCAGATATGTTGAACCTTGACGAAAGCAAAAAAATACAAATTCTGGGAAATTTTTCACATACAATAATCATAAGTACATGAAGAAAAAGATGGTGGTTAATTTGTCAAGAAACTAGACGTTGGACCTATTAAATATCCAAACCGGCAGTCTACCGATAATTATCCAAAAAAAAATTGTGAACACTAAAGAGTCAAAAAACACCTTCTAATGCATATTTGAACTCGTGATGTTGAACAGCAATACGAATTTGATATCATTCTCTACTCATAAAGTTATAATAATCCATGGCAAACAGGTGAAAATAGGATGGTTGAAGAGAAATCTGAAGATTATGGGCTAACCTCTGCCACCCTACTGAATAGGATAGAGGTTTAAAAAGTATCAGAAACAGTATATTTCATTTGGGAGATTGTGCAATTGATATTTTCAATTACCTACCTGTAAATAATTTGAACGCTGTTGGTAAATTTCTGTTGGGCGTGACCCAGATAATGTTAGATTTGGTCGTTTGGTAAAGCCCGGGATCTATCATCAATGGCATTGCCCTTTCACCCCTGCAACAAAAAATAAAATAAAAAATAAAAAATCGCCCGAGCATTTCAGTTCTCTCGTGTCTTAGATAAAAACATAACATGCAGGATAAGCCCTAATAAAGTACTACCGAGAACTCACGCTTTCCACCCTAACTGACTCGTGTGCTCGATAAAATTGGAATCCCGCTTCAACCCCGAAAATACAGACAGAAGATCTTGAAAAAAGGAACAAAATTGTCATTAGTCATTACATATCCATCAGTTTTTCCACCCTAAACCATCAATAAAAGGAAATAAAAAAAAAAAAAAATGAATAAAAAAAATTGCTCACCATCTTGAGTCACCAAAGGATAATCCGAGGCGCTAAGGTTAATAAACCAATCCCAATCCTTATGCCTCTTCAAAAGAATGGCGCACGCGTGGAGGGTATTCGCGACCATCGTGGGCCCCGTATAAGTAACCATATTCGCCTTCTTGTTCATGTACACATTCCCGATTTTCGAGAAAAGTGGATGATTTTCCACACGGGACGCGAGCTCCAACCTCTCATCGGCTGGCGACTCGAGGTCTAGATGGACAACGTAATAATTCCATGGGTGATAAATTGCATGTAGGGTCCTCCATAGTTTTTCCAAATCGCCTTTTGACCCCGAAACGAGATATGCGAATTTTGGGACGGGCGAGCGGGAAGGGGGTGGGGGTCGAGTTACTTTATCCTCGGCAAAATGGGGCTTGGTTTGATTGGAAGAGGGGCTAGAATGGAATAAAGAAAATATGGAGGTGATAGTGTTGGCAGAAGAAACGAGGCCCGTGTTTAAGGATGTTGCGAGGAGTAAAATGCAGAAGAATGAAGTTAGGATGAGAGGGAAGAGCCATTTTCTCTCCATGTTCATGGAACCCATTTTCGAGAAATCTAAGAAGCTCTTCATAAAAATCGAATCTTTGGGTAAAAAAAAAAATGCAAGAATTTTGAGAAGTGGGGTATAAAGTAATGGGGAGATTAATGATCCCTTCACCTGTGGCAACAAATATTCTGTCGCCGAGTAAGGTTTTTCTTAGATCTCACTCCAACAAATGAATATAGCTGGTGGATTAAGAAAGAAACAGAACACCATTAATTTATGCAAAAAGAAAGTGTAAACAACTTTGACAAAAAATTGGCAACAATGGCAAATGATAACAAAAGCTAGAAAGCAAGCATAACTTATGAAAATTATATGCAGAAAAATATTGATATCATTAAATATTTAGGGTTCTGTTCTTTGAGTGAAAGATAAATTGGCAGACAATGCCTAGAATGCTACATCAATAAATCGAAAACAACAACTTTGGAGGCTATAATTTTTAGCAAAATATATGGTGACCAGACAGTTTTATGTCCTCAGAAGCTCAAGGTTTTTTCAATTGCATTCAGCAGTTAGGACCACATCTTACAACAAAATTATAAGATAAAAACAAAACTAAAAGAAAACAATCTTGAACGAAACCCAGCCAATAGCAGAAAATAGATCAATAATACACCAGATTTAGAAAAATAAATATTGAAGCATTAGATCACCAAATAAACTAGTTCAAATTACAATCCCTGAAACAAAGAGTAACCANCATAACGACAAAAAAAAAAAAATCAAAATAACACAAAGCAGAATTAAATAATATACCCCAAAAAACCCAATAACATGAGAGTGAGCTCAAAATCTTGAATATCCATTAAAACTGAAAACAGAACAGAGCAAAACCATTACCACCACCATAAAGCTCTCAACCGTCACCAACATACATTTGCAAGTTTCCGTACAGGTACAGATTTAAGACAATACCTAGCATTAAAAAAGACAAACCTTTTTTGTTTATCTTCCTTGCGGCTTTTCTGGTGTGATAGACGCGGAACTGTATGTATATATGCGTGTAAACGAATTGTAAAGAGAAAAAGAGAGATGCCCGTGTTCTAGTGAAAGAATTTGGTGGAATAAAGGTGGGATCTTTTTGTTTATAATTTCAAGATTACTGTAATCAACAGTCACAGGGTAAAAAATATGAGCTGGGCTTCATAAATTTTCTGTTTTTTCTTCGAAGCAAGTGAAAAACAAGAGAGAGAGAGAGAGAGAGAGAGAGAGAGAGAGAGATTTTAGTTGATCAAATTTGTAGGAGTTGATTCAGATAATGGGAATGCGAGAGAATCGTGTGCTGGTTTTTCTTTTTGACTGTGGACTCAAGAAAAAAAGGGTCTTTTTATCTCTCTTCACTGTGTTTCTAAATCGTCTCAATTTATGGACTTTTTTCTATCAAACGTTGGTTACAATGTAATTAACTAATTATCTTTACTTATTATGTAAATCCAGAGTTTATATTATTTATAATCCTATCATGATTGGTAATCCTATGTATGCTTTGTAATTCTGTGTGATGTGTAATTCTACGTCTATTTGTTGTAATCCACGTAGATGTAAACTTTTATAAATATTTATTTAAGAATTTGATAATTGTAAAATACTTAACTAATTTATATTATAAATATATCTTAAAAATAATTTTCATGTTTATTATTAGGTTTTCATGATATATCAATTTATCATCTCCTCAAATTTTGATTGACATCTATATTGCATATATATAATAAAAATTAATTTATCTATCAATAGTGATAGAAAAATAATTAAATATTTTATCAATTAAATAAATTTATCTATTAAGTCTATTATATAATATAAATTAGAAAATTTATTTTAACACATACGAGTATCATTTTAAATATAAATAATATTTATTTTTTTACGAATTATTTTCAATTTAAAATAAATAAATATATTTTTTAAAAATATATATAATTTTTTATTAACAACCGTGTAACTCACGAGTATTGTACTTTATTAATTATGATTTAAAATTAAAACTCTGTATACAAACTATATTGTACGAGAGTAACTGATTTAGTCTTATTCGCGTATATTCGTACAAGGTTCTACTAAATAAAAACTTGAAATACTATTGCCACATTCATTCGAAAAATAGCTGTGAGTTTAAAAATTGGGTAAAAAAAACATTAAAAGTGATAACAGTTTCATTTTATTTTAATAAACGTAGTCATTTAACCATAACATGAATTTCTAATGGGAGAATTTCAAAATAGGGCCTCAATTTTACATCTACTCTTCAATTAGGATTTGATTTTTTTCTCTCTTGCATGGTTGCACCTCGGGTCCTAATTTTTAAGTTCATTAAGGCTTACATTTCAAGTTTTATTCTCAGAACAACGCTTATTACCGTTTTATTTTATTTATTTTCCGACTAGCTTTTTTTTTTTATGGAAACAATACACATTTAATAATTGAATCTCAATACTAAAAACAAAATACTTGTTGTAATATTAGATTCAAAAGCATTAATACGTAATAAATTATATACAAAATACAAAGTTAGAGAAATATATTTAATCAAAATCTATATTTATATAAAATGGGATCCTATTTACTATAAATAATATCCAGAAAAGTCAACTGCATTTAATGTCATTACTATTTCGGTATTAGAATAGTTTACTTTAATTATTTTGTTTATTTGGTTTATATCCCATACAAATCCTATCTAATTATTTAATTATTTTGTTTATTTAATTATTTTGTTTATTTGTTTATTTAATTATTTAAATAAAATTCAACTTTTAATTGTTTATTTAATTAAAAGTCAACTTCATTGTAAACCTAATAACATAAGTAAACCTAATAAGTAAACTTTTACAAATATTATAAAAATCATAAACCTAATAAAATGTCTCATTTCAACCTAATAAGTTACTTAAACCTATTGCTACAATATTAGGTTCCTGTCCGATTAATATACCAAATAAGCAGGATTTTAATGTAACAAGGATTTGGCTAAAAGAATATACTTAATGAATTAGCAGATAATAAAGTCATTTACACTTAGGGGGTGTATTCAATTCGGAATTTAAGTGACATTTTAAGACTTTTCGAGATTTGAGACTTTCTAGGATTTTCAGATTTTGGAAGAATTCTTTGAAATCTCAAGTCCGGAGGTAGGATTTTAAGTGGGATTTCATATAAGGTTTTTAGTTTAGAAATCCCACAAAATCTTAAAAGGTCTTAATAAATCCTAGTGCCAAAAAAATTAAATACCTCAGGATTTTGTAAGACTTTTGAAAATCCCAATTGAATACCCCAGGATTTTTAAATGTTTTAAAAAGTCTTAACAAATCTAAATTGAATACACCAGGATTTCTAAAGTCTTAAAAAGTCCTTAAAATTCCTAATTAAATACACCCCCCTTGATGTAACAAGGATTCACATAATACTTGCCTAATTTAAAATATGATTTTAAGGATTTTATATACTAAATGTAAATGAGTAGATATCGAAAAATTGGTCATTTACACTTGGACCAATTTAAAAATTATTCCTTAAATGAAAGAATTTATAGATAATTGTTATCTCTACTCAATCACATAATTATTTTCAATATAAAAGAGACAGATTACAAATTAGTGAATCATATATTACCTAATTCAACATCTTAACATTAAGGAATAAATCCATAGTATTATGTAAATCTGTATCTCATATTATTATATCATTAAGAATATATTATAGTTATATTATCAAATCATAAAAACATATTAAATCCATATTGTAAAAAAAAAAAATCATATAATTTTATAACAATTATACTACTCTATTTAACAGTATTCTTTTTATTATATAGTAAAATATTAATTAAATATAATATGGTGAACAACAATAAGTAAAACTGTTGCTTTCTCTTATATCAAGGAATAAATTTATACGCTAAAATTAAATTTTTATTAGTATAAATGTTTTAGTGAGATCATATATTAATTATTTTACAAGCTAACTCTAACATGCTCATATTTAATGTTCTGGCTAAAAAAACAACGAGTTAAAAGATGTGGAAAAATACTTATAATAACGTCCTATTATTTTTTAGACTTAACGTTGATTAAAAAAGTAGAAAATAGATAATAACCCTATTATTTTTTAGACTTAAACGGATAAGACTGTGAAAATAACTCAACTATTCACCATCAACTATATGTCTAATTGAATCAACTATCAAGTATAATTTAATCACTTAGTTTTGCAAATTTAATCAGTTAAAAGGACTAATTTTATAACTAAATGAATCATCTAGTCTAACTGTTGATTCAATCAGATATCTACTATCAGGTAATTAAACTCAGTCAATTGTCTGTTATTTGCTTTTATGCCAAAAGTAACTTTATATGAAATAAATGTTTAAGAAAGTAACTAGTACAGAGCTCGTGCGATGCACGGGGTGCACAATTTTAAGGATATTTATCCAGGTTTATAATTATATACATGAATAAAAAAAAATGTACGGGATATATATAGTTTATCTAGGCTTATAATTATATACATGAATAAAGAAAAATGTACGGGATATATATAGTACGTGACCCGTGCAAAGCACGAGATATATTTATTTGGAGAATATTATATTATAAGATGCAATATTCAATAAAAGTTTATAATACGCAAGAAAATTGTACAATGTTCAATAAAAATTTTATAATATTCAAGTGGAGTCTTAAAGCCTCTTGTACGTTAAGACTACTGACAAAATAATGTTTTAGATCAATGAGTTTCCTTTCCTTGTAGCCAAATTGTGAATGTGATTTGAGGAGTACAACAAATCGATATATAGCTGACTTGCTTTTTCATTGTAGTTTTTTTTTTTCTTTTTTTATAATGAATTAAAAGATATTCTAAAATATAGCAAAAATTAATTTTTTTTATTACAATTAAGAATTTTACTAAATATAAACTCTCAATCTATGGTGTTAATCAACGTTTAAGTCTAAAATAATAAGAATTATTACCTCTTTTAATCAATGTTTAAGTCTAAAAAACAATAGAATTATTATAAGTTTTTTTTCTACATCTTTTAAAACATTAAATATGAGCATGTTAGGGCTAGCTTGTAAAATAATTAATATATTATCTCACTATAACATTTATACTAATAAAAATTTAATTTTAGCATATAAATTTTGTTAGAGTAGGGTACCCGGCGTTCCAATCTAATTGGACGTATTCTACTTGTAAATACAGTCTATTGGAATTATATTATGAATAAGGCATTTCTTTATCTTAAGAGAAAGCATTTATCTTATAATTGCACTTAAGATAAAATCCCTAGATCACTTATGGTTATAAGGTATGGTTGCGCATAGAGATGGTGATCATGGAACATACCTTGAAAGCCGTGATCTTAAATACAGTTCCAAGTCGATGGATGTTTCGAGATGGGATATCGAATAATCCATAAAAGACTTGCACATAGTTTGTATGCTTGTTGGACAAGAATGTTGCATTCCATCAACATTAGCGTAAGACGTAAGTACATTTATGTGGGTGCTTGTTAGAGAACAAGTTCACTGAACATGACCGTATGAAAATTCTTAATGAAGAATTTATTCAGTCGAATAAGAATTTTCATGTTACAATAGTACATGACTAATCCTAAGACTTGAGGCACAATGGTAACTTTGTGCATATTACATTCTACTTTGATTTATCCTTTTGGTAGCTAGCACTATCGTTTAAAGGGATAAGTTGGGTATTATGTTGATATGTATGGAAGTTTGTTAGTGGCCAATAAAGGATTCGACACTTATGAAGATAAGTGAATTTCCTATGTGTTTCATAGTTATTAATCCAAAGTCCTTGGCCAAGGCAGAGATGAATAGTGATTCATAACCGGGTTAATAAACATGAAATAGAATCATAGTTATTAAGTCAATTTGGGTTTCGACAAAATCATACCCAAGACTTAATCGGGAAATTAGATGTCGAAAGGATTTTACATGTATGGAGTTGTAATCGGAATAGGTTTACTCGCTATTCACTTAATACTAGATTCATGCTACTTGCTAGGTGTTACCATGATATGTGGGTTCATAAATTAAAGGGTTAATTCATGAATAAGAGTTAATAAGATTTAACTCAAATTACAAAGTGTTGTAAACCCACTACTAGTATTAAGGTGAACCTAAAAGGTCACACTAATTATGAACAAAGGTAAAGATTGTATTTCTAATGGTTAGAATTAATTGA